AACAAAGTGCTAGGGACCTCAAAGCCCCTGGACCTAGGCTTTCCCAGCCTGAGCCCAGGAACACCATGATAGTAGGCATCAGATTGTTCTCCTAACCACTCCACAGGGCTTCTAAGTCGTTTACCATGGGGCTTTCTAACCTCCCTGGGGCTTTCTAAGTGAGAGAATTTTGGAGGACACCCATGGTAAGGGGTGGGGAGGGTAGGATGTAGATAATGATTTTGCAAAAGGGAAGTCAGGCAAGAAATAAACCACAAATCTTGAAGCCACTCCAAGTATGTTTCCCTTCTAGGGGATTCTAAACCATAGAATGGCCCAATGAGTCTAGTTGTATTTGCTTTATTAGCCTAGGAGAATGAAAAAGGATCAGGACGTAATAAAAATGGACGTTGATACTCCAGATATGTGGGAAGGTTATGAGAGTGTACCCAGCCACACTTGAGGGGTTAGGTTACTGGGCCCAGATAGAACACATCCAGTGAGACTGAGAAAAATGGTTGGTGGGATTGCTGAGCCATCATCTGAGATGTGAACTATCATAGAGAAGAGGAAAACTGGCACAGGACCGGAGAGGGCAAAGGTGGTCTTTTTTTAAAATGTATTTATTTTTAGTTTTCAACATTTACTTAAAATTATGAGTTCTAAATTTTCTCCCTCTCCCTTCCCTCCCCCCTCCCCAAGACAGCCTATCTGATATAGGCTCTACATATACATTCATATTAAACATATTTTCACACTAGTCATGTCGTAAAGGAGAATTAGAACCAAGGAAGAACCACAAGAAAGAAGAAATGAAAAAAAAAAAAGAGAGCAAATAGTATGCTTTCAATCTGCATTCAGACTCCATAGTTTTTTTCTGGATGTGAATAGCATTTTCCATCTTGAGTCTTTGGGAATTGTCTTAGATCCTTGCATTGTTGAGAAGAGCTAAGTCTATGAAAGTTAGTCATCACACAACATGGCTATTACTGTGTACAATGTTCTCCTGGTTCTGCTCACTTCACTCAGCATCAGTTCATGTAAGTCTTTCCAGGTTTTTCTGAAGTCTGCCTGCTCATCATTTCTTATAGCACAATAGCATTCCATTACATTCATATGCCACAACTTATTCAGCTATTCCCCAATTGATGGGCATCCCCTCAATTTCCCCATTCTTGGCCACCACAAAAAGCTGATATAAATATTTTTGTACATGTGGGTCCTTTTTCCGTTTGCATGATCTCTTTGGGATACAGCCCTAGAAGTGGTATTGCTGAGTCAAAGGTTATGCACAGTTTTATAGCCCTTTGGGCATAGTTCCAAATTGCTCTCCAGAATGGTTGGATCATTTCACAACTCCACCAACAATGCATTGGTGTTCTAATTTTCCAACGTCTTCTCCAACATTTATGATTTTCCTGTTCTGTCATGTTAGTCTATCTGATAGATGTGATATGGTACCTCAGAGTTGTTTTGATTTGCATTTCTCTTATCAATAGTGATTTAGAGCATTTTTTTCATATGACTATAGATAGCTTTAATTTCTTCATCTGAAAACTGCCTGTTCATATCCTTTGGCCATTTATCAATTGAGGGATGACATTTATTCTTATAAATTCAACTCAGTTCTCTATATATTTTGGAAATGAGGCTTTTATCAGAGACACTGGCTGTAAAAATTCTTTCCCAGCTTTCTTCTGCTTCCCTTCTAATCTTGGTTGCATTGGCTTTGTTTGTGCAAAAAATTTTCAATTTAATGTAATCAAAATCATCCATTTAGCATTTCATAATGTCCTCATTCTCTTGTTTGGTCATAAATTTTTCCCTTCTCCATAAATCTGACAGGTAAACTATTCCTTGCTCTCCCAGTTTGCTTACAATATCAGCTTTTATATCTAAATCATGTACCTATTTTGACTTTATTTTGATTTATGCGGTGTAGGGTGTTGGTCTATGCCTAGTTTCTGCCATACATTTTTCCAATTTTCCTGGCAGTTTTTGTTAAATAGTGAGTTCTTATACCAGAAGCTGGGGTCTTTGGGTTTATCAAACAGTAGATTACTATAGTCATTGACTGTTGTGTCTTGTGTACCTAACCTATTCCACTGATCCACCACTCTGTTTCTTAGCCAGTTCCAAGTAGTTTTGATGACTGCTGGTTTATAATACAATCTAAGATCTGGCATGGCTAGGTCAAAAGTTGGTCTTTCAAAAAAAGGGAAGAGAACAGAATCTACCAACTATTGGTTCTGAGCTTCCTGGCAAAATTCCAGTCTGTATGAAGGAATGGTTAGTGCACATCTGGAAAGGGAAGCAGAGTGATCAGAGAGGCAGCCTAGATCCTGCCAAACTAAGCTTTTTTTGTGGGCTATGATGAATGAATCGGCGGGCAGGGCAGGGTGTGTGTGTCATTCTCTATGGGAAAGGGGGGTTGGTTCCAGGAGTCCTATAATACCAATAGGAGCAAAGGTGCAACTGCTCCCCACCCCACCCCTATCACTGTTTCCAGACTCATTCCCAGTTAAGCTTATCTGAGTTTAAAAGAAAAAAAAAAAGCCGGCAAGTCTATGGTGTGATTGGAATGGTATTCCATCTACCGAACTCTTCCTCATCTGGTCAGTCTCCCTCTCAGTTCCCCCTCCAGGGGAAACTCAATTTTTCCCTTTTGTCTTGACTCCCCCTGCTTCCATCTGGAACCAGGCACTTGGGTCTACATCATTGTAAATGAGCTTTTCTAGTATTTATATAGAGTATGAGTACATATGTAGACAGTACAATGAAATACATGGTGTAATATCAACTTCAAGTAACAGAAATGCAGAATATGACTGGAAGAATAAGGACTCCAAATGCTATTTGGGGATGATTGACATTGGGGGACCAAGAGCTTCCATGGGTCACCTTCTCCCCCAACACTCCATACGTGAGGGGTTCCCACCTGAAATGAAAGGGCCAGTCTGGCTCTCTGGTCAGCTGCACATCAGGGCAGAGGGAAGAAAGCCAAATGGCTCTGGCCTGGATTGGGAACACATGTGGGATCCTCTCTCTGGCCTGATCTGACCATTACTTCTTCTGGCCCCCTGTCCTGGCCATCCCTTCCCCCCAGTGGCTGATTTATGGTCAGGCACAGTCCCTCCCCTTCCTCCCCCACCCCTCACCCCCCACGCCAGCTATAACCTTGCTGCTGCTGCTGCCTTTTCTCCAGTCTCAGCTAGTGGGAGGAGGGGTCCCAGCCACCAGGGCAGGGCCTCCCAGAACAATCTCCTCCCCCTCCTCAAGAAGCTTCCTCATTTCTCTGTGGAAGTCACTGGGAGTCATTTGAGGGCATAGGAACCTGGCAAACCCGAAGTTTCTCAGAGCGTCTCTCCCACATCGGCAGATGCTTCAGGCAGTTTACCTGGATTTTTAGCAATATGAGATAAAATAGTTCACAACAGTCTTCTGGAAAAAGATGTAGCCAGACAAGAGTCCAATACGGTGGCCTGGCTCAGTGGACAGGAGTTGTTAACAATAGTCCCACTTGGAAGGTCTCCAGTGGCATTCCCCAGGGATCTATGCTTGGCTCTAAGCCATTTAATGTTATCAATGACTTTGAGAAAAGCATAGATGCTATGTGCTCTCGTCAAGCTTGTGGATGACCCTGAGCTGGGAAGGGTGGAGCTCACACACTGGATGGCAATCGGGCTCCAAAAGGATGGCGTTAGGTTGGGAGCCTTGGGCACTAGGGAAAGAAGTCCTGCACTTGGGCACCAAAAGTCTAGGATGGGAGAGCCATGGACAGACAGCAGATGTTCTGGAAAAAGATTGGGGGGGAGGTAGTAGATCACAAGCTCAATGAGCCAACAGTGTGATGAGGCAGGTGGCCAAAACATCTGATGTGATGTGGGCTGCATTCAGAGACACAATTTGGGGAGTAAGGTGAGGCCCCACGGCCTTCTGCCAGACTTCCTCTGGAGGAGTGTGGTCAGGTCTGGCCACCACAATGTCAGAGGGACCTGGACCAGCGAGGGAGTGTCCAGAGGGCCACGGGAGAGGCTCAAGCCCAAGTCGTATGAGGATTGAAGGAACTGGGGGTGATTGTCTTGGAGAGACTCGGTGGGCCAACGTAGCTTCCTTCATGTTTTCGAAAATCAGACACCTGGAGATAGGGCTTGTTCTGCTGGTCAAATCAAGGGCGAGAGGCAGAATGAAGATTGCTGGGGGGGGGGGATGGGCAGGGAACTTGTTACCAATGACAGCTGCCCACAGTCCCCAGATGAGAGGGGAGGAGGGAGGGCATTCCAGTCAGGGGGGACAGTCTGTGTGAAGGGGGAGGGCAGGTTGTGGAGGACAGTTGACTAACATGTGGAGCACATGATGCCAAGTTCAACCTGGAAAGAGGCTGCAGCCAAACTGCGACAGGCTCCGTGTGCCACAAAAGAGAGGCAAAAGGGAGCCAGTGAGGCTTCTTGAGCGAAGGAGTGATGTGATCCCACTCTTACTGTACCACTGACAGCTTCGTCAGAAGGAAGAATGGCATAAGGGAAAGGCTGGCTTTGGGGAGACCAAGGAAGAGGCTGTGGTCCTAGTCCAGGTGAGAGAGGATGAGAGACTGAGGCTGGCAGCATGGGAGTAGAGAGAAGGAGTTGGGTGGGGGGTTGTGAGGGACAGCAAGATCTGGCAACTGATTTTTTTGGACATGGGGGAGGAGTGGGGAGTCAGGGATGATGCTGGGAGAGGAGGTGCCTCGGACAGAAACAGGGAAGTCAGGGACTGGGGAGAGGAGCTCTGCTTGGGACATGAGCCTACAGCACGTCCAGAGGCAGGGTCCACCAAGCCAGCAATGGACAAGGCTGTGGCTCTGGAGAAAGCCACACACAACCAAGGACAGCCGAGCCAGGGCTACATGGGGCAAAGAGGCCTCCCCCATCCTGGTGAATCCGACCCTAGGGCCAAGTCCCTCCCCAGACCCAGGAATCTCCTCTGGTAAGGTGTCCAGGAGCTCAGGGCACCCTTTATATCATTCACGAACGCACTCAACGTTAAAAAAAACCCATTTATTATGAACCTGATGAATACAATGGGCATTTCCAAGAACGTGGTAGAACACGAAAAAGATTATACCTGAGCATGGGTCTCTTGCCTAGTTGACCAGGTTGCTTTTCTTTTTAAATATCTAATACATTCAACTGGAACTTCCTTCCCCCCAACTCCACACAGAGGCTGATTTTGTCCCTGCACAAGAATCCCCCTCCCCAATAAAGTGGTTCCCTCAAAGACATGGGCAGCTTCAGGGACTGAGGCAGGAATGTCCCTCTTCCACACCTGGTGTTAAGGTGCAGGGTGGCCTGGATGCCTCGAAATCCCCTGCAGCTCAGAAAGTCTGGTCCATGTCGTCAATTTCCCCCATCAGATGGCAAGCCCATTGAGGGCAGAGGAGGAGGGACCCTGGTGTTAGTATGCTTTACACATTCAGCGCAGAGCCTGACATACTGTATACAGCAGGTGCCTAATCAATGCCATTTGTGTGCTGACAGAGCCCCTGAGACACCAGGAGGACAGAATACAGAGACAGCAGCAGCTAAAGGGACAGTGTTTGGTTTTGGGGGTCACCTTGATCTTAGACCCCCTATTAGCTAGGTGTGCACAGTAGATAGAGCACCGAGTCTGGAGTCAGGAAGGCCAGAGTCCATATCTGGCTTCAGACACTTACGAGTTGTGTGACCCTGGGCAAGCCACTTCACCTCTGCCTGCCTCAGTTTCCTCACCTGCAAAACCGGGATAACCTCCCAGGGTGATTAGGAGGACCACGTGAGCTATTTGTAAAGGAGTCCAGCCCACTGCCTCACACATAGTAGGTGCTGTTTAAATGCTTGTTCCTTCCCCTCCCCCTTGTGTTCAGTCATCAGTAAAGGCGCAGAGGGCAGAGGGCAGAGGTATCTGAAAGCCAGGGAGGACAGCCCAGCCTGAGCCTGCCTACTCCAGCCAGACTGGCCGCTGGGAGTGCCAAGGTCTTTTCTTGGAGTCTCATCTGCCACTGAGGGTTCCTCAGCTGCCAGGCTCATCCTCGTAGGCAATGGGGACGCCTCGTCTCCCTGCTACCGCCCGCATTGGTGCTGTCTGGCCTAGCTGAGGTTCCAACCCCTGCCAAGTACGGGAACCAAGGAACAAAGCTGGGAGGGGACAAAGAGGAGGGTCAGCCAGGGGTCTGAGCAAGGCTCCCAGAGGATCCAGGGAGCTGGGCTAGGGGAGGGGCGCACACTGGGGTTACCTGCTGGACTTCTCTCAGCAAGCTCAAGCCGGGATCGCTGGCTCAGGACCGAGGCCTCTGGGACACTGGGCACATGTGCTGAGGCCTGCTGTAGGCGAAGCTCTCCAGTGATAAGTGACACATCGGGAGTACCCCACAGCTCCGAGTCTGGGGGTGGGATTGGCACGTGGAAGGGGGAGCCTGGAGGGACAGTGGAGGGAGATCACGGGTGGGCCTTTCCCTCCTCCTTCCCTCCCAACGGGGAGCAAAACCAAGGCACAGGGCTAAAAAACCCAAGGCAAGAGGTGCTGGGCCTTACCTGGCAGCAGGTCAGAATAGTGAGTCAGGTAGGGGCCCAGCCCCACTGGCCCCCGAGCTGGGTTGCAGGCGGCTTCCAGCTCATAGGGGGTGAGCAGTGGCCGGAAGAGACCTCTGCTGGCACCACTGCGGGGTCGGTCAAGCGCCCTCAAGGGACAGGCCAGCAGCACAAAGACATCTACCTCTGGGAAGTTGGCCAGCTTGGCTGGGCTGGGCCGGCCCAGTGACAGGACATAGGCCCGCTTGCCAGAGGCCTGCACCAGTTTCCGAAGGTGGGCCAGAGCCTCACGGTGCCCTGCCCCACCTGGAGCACCCGCCAGCAGTCCAACCACACGGGCATCCCGTGCGCATTCCACCAGATAGTGGCTCCGAGCTCTGGCTCGGACTGCCCGGGGGCCCTCTGCTCGGGCCTCTCCAGAGCTTGGCAGGCAAGATGAGAAGGGGCGGCTGGGGGCCCAGCCCAGGAGCAGCTGGAGCAGGTCTGGGCTCACCTCAGCTCCACTGTTGTCCCCATTCTCAGAGCCCCCCACATAAAAGGCACCATAGTCCTCCAGCTGGCGCCCAGGGCCCAGTGGGAAAAAGCGGCCAAAACGCTCCAACGGTGGGTGTTCCCAGCCTGGGGCAGCAGAAGGCAGAGCTGGCTGGGAGACCAGGATGTCCTTATACCGTGGGCGAAGAAGAGCAGCCAAGGCTTCTGCAGGGAAAATGCATGGGTCAGTGGGCAGGGCCAATTGGGAGAGCAGCCACACCAGGCCTGGCCTGGAGAGGACATCGGGATTAGGACAGGCTGAAGGGCCGGGGGTGCTTATCAGGGAGGAGAAGAGGACTAAATGGGACATGACAGCTCGCCTCTAAGGTCAAAGGGGAAGAAGGGGGGAGGAAGCCACAAAGATACATGTAAGTTTGACTCATGAAGCACTTCCTCATAGTCAGAACTGTGCCACACTAGACTGGGCCGCCTTGGGAAGGAGAAAGCACCCCCTCATTGAAGGTCACAGACACTGGAGGGCAACCACATTGTAGTGGTTGGGATACATTAGCCTTCCCAAATGTCCTTCCAACTCTGAGATCCTATGATTCAGGCATCCATCCCAAGGATATATGGGGAAACTAAGGCTCTCGGCTAAGGAGCAGATAGGGAAACTGAGGCAGCAAAAAAGGTAAGTAGCCCAGGCTGACTTGGGTAGTAAAGTCTTAGCCAATTTCTTCTCCCCAGTAAATCAGTCAACATTTATTAAGCACCTATAATGTACCAGACCGTGCTAGTACAGTCCCTTTTCTCAAGGAGCTCACAGTCTAATGGGGGAGAACACACAGACATACATCTGGGGACTACCCAACCTTCTCTCCCCTAGTCCTCACCCAGAGCATGGGCACAGGCTGGCTCACTCAGCAGCACCACAGGCTCTGCAGGGTTGGGGTGCAGGGCTCTGAAGGCCTCCGCACACAGCTCCAGGGCCACCGGACGCTGTCCAAGGACGTAGATGACAGGCAGGAGGCAAGAAAGCGGGCTCAAGCAGGCAGGGCCAAAGTGGACCAGGGCATCGGCTTCAGCCTGCTCAGCTCTCAGTACATCCACACAGCAGCTGCAGAGGAGGATCAATTATAGGGGCGGGGCAAGGCCGACAGAAGACCTCCCTGATTCCCTCCCGTCCTCAGGCTCCCACCTGCCATAGGCTGTGTCCCCCAGAACAAACATCTTGGCTCCTGTCATCTCCTCCAGGGCCCGAGCTACAGCCACACTGTCTCCAAGGAGTTCATCGGGGAACTGCAAGGCCACCTGGGCAGCCACAGAGAGCCCTGCTCAGAGCTTCACTCGGCTCTGGGTAGGGGACGTACCCCCACCTCCAGCCCCAAGCCCCTTCACCTGCTTCCCCTTCCCCCAAGTCTCCCCTCCTCCTGGCCTTTCCCTTAACCCCGACCCCCACCCATCCTCTACACCCTCCCTTTCCCCTAGTACTCCCTCCCCCTGTCCCCTCCCTCACTTACCCGCCTGGCTTCGTGTTCCAGCACGAAGGCCTGCACCCGCTCCAGCTCGTAAGTGCGGCCCAGCTCCGTGAGGGGCGTCAGTGGCTCCGGAACCCCAACCTCCCGCTGCAGGGCGGCCCCTGCTGGGCTGCTGAAAGCGTCTTCCATGTTACCCCTTGCAGTAGGGATCGCCAGGCCTCGGGTCCGAGCCTGGGATCAGCTCCTGGACAGCAGTGGGTTTCCCGGACGCTCCACGTGGGTCTCCCCTCCAGCCTCTCCACTATTTCCGGGATTACTCCCAGCCTTCAGACTTCGCCAATCCGAGCCCGTGATTCCTTTCTTGCCCTGCGCCAGTAGCCAATAGACTACTCCAGGACTCTGAGCCAATGGGAAGGGGCGTAATTGCCCTACCTCCGTCCCAGCCGCAATACTCAGATCTGAGCCGCATACCTTTGTGGGAGTTGTAGTTTCTAGGGCCCCGGGTGAGCAGTAGGGGGAGGGCGGGTGATGTGGTGTGGAACGGAAAAAATCCCGGAGCCAAATGCGCAGCCTGGCTCTCGTGTTCCCTTTTCTGTTCCCCGGGGCAACAGGGTATAGGAGGTGTTCCACCCTAAGTCGAACTGTGACTGCGGCGACTACCACTACGCTTACCAGCGGTACCCAGAGCTATTAGTGTAAAGCGCTTCGAGAGGGCAAGACTGCGGCTGGCCCCCAGATTCTCCTCCGAGCTCCTCCCAGCAATCGTTGGCTGAGTGGCGGAGCTGCAGGCCTGGATCCTATGCAGACACAGCAGGGGTGGGCTGGGAGTGGAAGAGAAAGCCGGACAGACAGACAGACAGACAGACAGACAGACAGACACACACACACACACACACACACACACACACACACACACACACACACACAGTCTCTGTCTCTCTGTCTCTCTCTGTCTCTCTCTGTCTCTCTCTGTCTCTCTCTCTCTCTCTCTCTCTCTCTCTCTCTCTCTCTCTCTCTCTCTCTCTCTCTCTCTCCCTCTCATTCTCTCTCTCTCCCTCTCATTCTCTACAGGGGTTACTATGTAGCCTAGGGATAGAAAGCAGCCGCCCCCGAAATAGAGACACCAGCGAGCCCTCTCGGGGCAGGGAGAAGGCCCGGGTGGCGATGCGATGGATACAATGTGGCTTCCGAGTCTCTGCCGGCGGCGGGACTCCGGGTGTCACCTGCCCTGGATACAATATAGCCGCTGCCCGGGCTGGGGAGGGCAGCCGCGGTGGATACAAAGTAGCTCCAAGGCAGCAGGCGGCTAGACTGACTCGAGGTGACTACCACCCCCGAAGCTCTGGGCTGGGAAAGAAGCTACAGGTACCGAGAACGGAAAGAAAACCTCTCGGCCAGTCCAACCCGCCTCGTTTTACGCTCGGGAAAATTAGACGGGGAGGGGGGGAGGGGATGGAAGAGACGTGTCTGAGATCTCTACAAGGGGAAGTGGCGGAGCAGGGATTTACGGCCAAACCCATTGACTCCGGCGGGGAACTAGATCTTTTTGGGAAGCCTGCCTGGAGGAGGCGGTGCTTGCGTCTAAAGGAGTCGATAAGTAAATGGTGAGCTGACAGCAGTGGGGGTGGGGGAAGGAGTAAAGACTGGGAAGTCTGTGTTTACTAGCGCGACCTCTGGAAAGAGGAGAGGCCTCCGGCTATTTGGTCCTCTCTCCTCCTCTCCCCAAGCGGTAGTCACAAGGAGCAGGAGGCTGAGCCAGAAAGGAGGAGCCGGCCTGACCTCGAGGCTGTGGAGATGATTGATCCTAGGACTGGGAGTCAGGAGACCTGGGGCTGAGTCACTTCTCCCTGTCACCCTGGGGATGACTCTTCCTTCCCTGAACTTGCTGATTTAAAAAAAAAAAAGGGACGGGGAAGGCTCGGGGCTTTTCTTCCAACTTTTCTTATGCACAAATCTGGGCAAGCGACTCCACTGCTCTCAGACCTTTAGTGACTCTCTAGGGCCTCCCTGGTGAAACTCATACCCCGATGTCCGGCATTCAAGGCTTTTTCAAAACCTTTCACTCAGTTCTCTTTCTAGCCTAAAGGACTTGGACTAAAATGCTGGACTTGAACTCAGGAGGATCTGAGTTCCAGTCCCACCTCACACACATACTAGCTGTGTGACTCTGGGCAGATCATTTAACCTCTCCACACCTCGGTTTCCTCATCTCTAGAATGTAGATAGTAAAAGCATCCACCTTCCAGGTTTTTTTGAGGGTCAAATGAGATAATGTATGCAAAACACTGCAAATCTGAAAGTGCTAAATAAATGTTATTCACTCCTGTTTTTTCTCCTCACCACCCTGAACCAACCTGGAAGACACCTTACATCATCATCATCATCTTCATCAACTAAGTTATATAGCACTGTCAGGCCCTGTACTAAGCACTTTACAATTATTCTCTCCTTTGATTCTCACAATAACCCTGGGAGGCAGGTGCTGTTATTATCCCCAATTTACAGAAGAGGAAACTGAGTAGACAGTGGTTAAGTGACTTGCCCAGGGTCACACAGCTAGTATGTGTTTGAGACCAGATCTACGTTCAGGTCTTCCTGACTTCAGAAGAGGCTCTCTATCCACTAGGCCACCTAGCAGCTACTATTCTCCTATCCATATGCTACTGCCTGGGCTGTTCCCTACACCTAGAATGTCCCCATCCCCCCTCTCTTCAGGTGCAGAATTCCTACCCACCCTTAAAATCAATGCACCAGCATGCATTTATTGAGCACCAGGCTCTGTACTGGGCAATGGGGATACAAAACTAGACAGTTCATGCCTTCAACGTGGCTGGGGAAGATGACAACATGAGCACCTTTAAACAGGTACAAAAATAAACCCCAATATGTCCCAGGTAATGGGGGCAGGGCACAAGCCCCTGTGGGGATCAGGGAAGACTTCCTGTAGGAGGTGGCAACTGAGATGAATTTTGAAAGAAACAAGAGATCGTGCAATGTTGAAGTGAGCAGGGAGTGCAATCTAGGCATGCCATAAAGTGAGGCAAGTGATCTACAGCAAGCAGACTGGAGCATTTTTAGAACTTTCATTTATGTAATGCTTAAAGATTTGTATTCTTCAAGCCAACAAGGAATCATCTAGTCTGCTTGGAGACCTCTCATGCTGGGGAGGCCACTCTGCCCATTAGTCTAATTTCACTTTTGGACAATTCAATTAAATCAACCTTTATTAAGCATCTATTGGTAGCACAGTGGATGGTGCTGGGCCTGGAGTCAGGAAGACTCATCTTCCTGAGTTCAAATCTGGCCTCAGATAACTACTAGCTGTGTGACCCTGGGAAAGTCACTTAATCCTGTTTGCCTCAGTTTCCTCACCTGTCAAATGAGCTGGAGAAGGAAATGACAAACCACTCCAGTATCTCTGCCAAGAAAACTCCAAATGGGGTCACCAAGAGTTGGATACAACTGAAATGAGTGAACAACAAAAGATGTGCCTGGCACTGTGCTAAGCGCTGGTGATACAAATAGGAAAAAGAAAGTTCCTGCCCTCAAGGAACTTACAATCCAATCAGGTGGATAACTCATAAAAGGAAGCTGGAAAGGGTTGGGGAGACACAGGGGTCCCCAACACAGGGGGGTGAGGTTCCTGGCACAGGAGGCATCTTGTTCCATGGAGTTGAAGCTAGGCAAACCTGCAGGTAGAGAGCAGAGTCAACTGGAAGTCTAGTTTCTGCTCTCTATAAAGGAAAGCTTTGGTAGGAATTCAGTACGCCACCCTCCAGCCCTCCAATCAGAGGGGCAGGAGGCTGAGGGAGGTGATATCCAAGACTTGAATTAGCAGCACGGCACTGAGGTTAGAAGTGATCCTGGAAGGGGCATCTGCTCTGTGGAGGTGAAACCAGGTGGAGATGCATATGGAGTGGAGATCTCTTACTGTTAAGAATTTCCCCAAATCAAATAGCAGCCCCTCCACCTCTGCCCACTTATTCTGGGTGATTCTTCTTGTTCATGTCCACCCCACATGCCAGAGGGCTTTCCTTGATTTCTGCTGACATCTTGAGTTCCAATGGAGGACCTTGGCCAGCACCCGGCGGTTCCTTGGTCTCAGGGTGGGACAGCCCGTTTGTTCTTCCTAGCACACATATCTCTGATGGCTTCATACCCCTCCATGTCATCCCTTATCTCTCATCCCCCTATCTTGCCACCGGACCAACCCAGCTGGTTTCATTTTTAGAGCAAGGATGTTAAAGTTGATGTGATCCAGCTCCTCTGGCAATGAATGTGTCCCCTCACCTGTCAGTGGACAAGGACTTTGCATTAGAAGACCAGCAGCCTCATGAAACTACCTGGTTCTTGGCAGCCCCTTCCTCCTTTGCTGCTGCTGTTGCTGTCACTGCCAAAGAGGACGGGGTTACATGGGACCATGGCTGCTGCCACAGCCAAAGAAGCTTCGTCATCGGAGAGCCAGCCCTGCTCTGAGTGCTTGACAAGCTAGGCTGAGGGGGCACCACTCCAGGCCTTTCCATGACAGAACCTGCCCCAGTGCATGCTCCACCAGCATTGCTGCTGGAGAATCCAAGGCTGCTATGATCTCCTTACTTACAACCCCTCCCTCTTCCTTCTGCCCTCCCTCCCCTCTCGAACAGATGAGAAACACATTGAGGAGGAAGGAGGAGACTGGATTGGGCCCATCCAGTGATGACAGCTTTGCTGGACTGGTCCCCATCCCGGGGGCATCAACGCCCACTTGGATGACCTAGGTCTCTGCAGTCACAGGCATTGGGAGTGGTCAGGGCTATTCACTTGGACACAGAGGCTTTAGAGTGGGGTGGGGTGGAGAGAGCAGGACGGTGTCAAAAGACATCAAAGAGGCCATCTACTCTCTTCCCAACTGGTGGTTTCCTGTCCAGGGCACCAACATTCTTCTAGTCTCCCAGATTCACAGCCACACACCCTCTACTTCTTACTCTCCCTCACCCAGCACGACAAAGCACTTGTCAGATCTTCCTGGCTTCACTGCCATAGCCGATATCCACCCCCTTCTTTCCTCTCTACATGGCCTCTGCCCTCGGGCAGGCCCTCAGTATTAAATCCCTGAACGATGGTAGTAGCCACCTGCCAGTTGGCCTCCCTGTTCCAAGTCTATCCCCAGGCCAAGCTATTCTCTATTCAGCTGTCAATTTAATCTTCCTTTAGGAACATCTTCACTTTAATCCGGGTCTGTCCATGTCACCCTCCTAGCTAACCGACGCTAGGGACTCCCTATCACTTCTAGGAACAGATAAAAATCCCTCTGTTCGGCATTCAAAGCCATTCATGTCCCAGCCTCCTCCTCCCTTACTACCCACCTCCCATACTCTGATCCAGTGGTCCTGGACTCCTTGCTGCTCCTCACACAAGATTCTGGCCATCTTCTCTGGGCTGTCCCCCAGGCCTGGAATACTTTGCCTCCTCATCTCTGCCTCCCAGTTTCCTTCAAATCCTGGCAAAAATCCCATCTCCTAAGAGCAACGTTTTGGAGACGCCTTCATTCTAATACCTTCCTTCTATCGATTTGTCTCTCAATTTGTCCTGTAGAAAGCTTGTTTGCACGTTGTCCCCTTCCCCATTAAGTTATAAGCTTCTCTAGGACAGCTACAGTCTTTTGCCTTATATTCTCATCCATTAGCATGGTGCCTGGAACAGAGGATGCACACAATACCTTGCTCAATAAACTCTAGTTCCCTTTAGAACCCTGGTCCCTCTAGGATAGAATGCAAATTTCTCTGTTGTGTATTTGAGTCCTTCCCAGCCAGACTTGGACTCATCTTCCAGCTCTTTCGCACATTATTCCATTTGGTGAATTCTGTGGTCCAGCCAAATGGGCCTTTGGGCTCTTCTTCACACAGGGTC